AAAACCTCCACAAATTCTTAATTACAATCATGCCATGTTCTCCAGCAAATCCCATTTCTGCTCCAAGCAGAATGGTTAGAGTATCTCTTTATACATTTTCTTCAAACAGGAATATTATGAAAACAAGTTTCTCAGGTATCTTTCCAAATTTACCCACCAGTTTACGGATTCTGTCCAAAACCAGGTCAATGATCTCTTTGCCGATGGTGTAGTGTCCTCTGGCGTAGTTATTGGCAGCATCTTCCTTCCCAGTGATCAGCTGCTCAGGGTGGAACAGCTGGCGGTAGGTCCCAGTGCGAACCTCATCTAAGCAGGAAAAATAATAAGCACTGAACTTAACTTTAGGTTAACAGATATTATATGATATTTACACCTTTTTTTTTTAGCTTACCAATGACAGTGGGTTCCAAATCTACAAAAACGGCTCTGGGAACGTGCTTCCCTGCTCCAGTCTCGCTGAAGAAGGTGTTGAAGGAATCATCTCCCCCACCAATAGTCTTGTCACTGGGCATCTGTCCGTCCGGCTGGATCCCATGCTCCAGACAGTAGAGCTCCCAGCAGGCATTGCCAATCTGGACACCAGCCTGACCGACGTGGATGGAGATGCACTCACGCTACAGAAGAAAAAATATTTTAAAAGTGGAGAAAAATAAAAACTCGGATACCATATGTTCCACATTAATAACAAACATAATTATATATATATATATATATATATATATATTTTTTTTTTTATAATATCACAAAAGAGCACACAAATCCAATAAGATAAATAGACGCATCTCTGACATGTGGACTACATATCAAACTTTTCTTTGGTTCAGGTCATCTGTTGAGTTTTCTTCTTGCGCACTGCAGTTGTGTCTCAACTGCGTTGCTACGCAACGGCCCTTCACTAGGGAAAACGGTGACGTTTCTTTGAGCCCTTACATTTTTTTTAAACAAATAAATCTAGTCTTCTAACGGTATCAGAGATGCTTCATGCATATACTAGTAAAGTCTATTAAAAACCGCAGCGCTCCCCGCGCTCTGTTCGTCCGGTGAGCAAACAGTCATTAGTGTCCGTTACTAGCTTGCATTTTTAATGGCCAGCGCCATGCTGATGGTGCATTTGATCCAGTTTCCCTCCGGATAAGGTATCACTGGGAGTGGGTCGTGTTCTCTGCCATTGAATTACGGTCACAGCCTCCAGCTGTCACCATAGGATGGCGACTAAAGGGGTTTTAGTCGCGCTAAAGGGGACGATAAAACCTCCGATCTTAGCATTGCCCATCGAGGAGGGGAGTGGGAGGGGGGGCTCTTTGTTCAGACTGCCCGCCACGTCTCCATCCGAACCGCGCCAGAACCTCTCATTTGATCAAATATGACATTTTAAATTACATTTTGCAGGATTTCTGAAGCGTTTGTGTAAAAAAAAAAAAATTTAAATAAAAAAAAAAAATAAAATACAGTTTGCCTAAAAACTTCATTCATCCACCATTTATTTACTTTTTAACTCAAGTTATCAATAAATAAACCATCTAAGAACACTAATTTATTTCGTTTTTCCAAAGCTGCTTGAAGGTTCTTACCATGTTGTTTAGCTGAAGTTGTGAGAGAGGGTGGAAGAGTCTCCTCGGAGAAGGAGTCTTACAATTCGACAGTTATGGGGTCGATGTAAGAGATAATGGCGTACATGCTGATGCGGGAGCTTTATATGCGAGGAAGGCTTGGCGCCGGCAGCTTCTGCGCTCCTATTGGCCGAGTTGCTGTCACTCTAACGCTCTGAATGATTTCCCGGATTTCTATTGGAGGATTTAGAAATCTAGCTTAGTCTCCGCCCATCAACCCCACCCAGCTGGGAGCCACCGCTCCCGTTATTAAACTGCAAGAATCATGGCGTTTCTGCCTGAATGGAAAATGCTGCGTAATTTTTCAATAATGCTAAAAACAAAATTATGGGCAGGTTGAAGAAGAGCATTGAAACTCATTCTGTGTTGTCTATAATCAATAAAATCCAAATATAGCCATATATAATAAATATATCCATATATATAGATCCATATCAAAATTTAAAAATGAAATAGAGTGAATTGTATCAAAAAGCATTTAGTCAAAGTTGTAGCCTCAATAATTAGATATCAACAGAAGTCAAACATTAAAACAGGTCATTTCTTACACTTTCTAATAAAAACGTTTAATTTTCAGATATATTTTACAATGTTCATGATACCACATGGTCCAAAGAATTCAAATATAGTATATCAGTAATATCAGTAGTAAAGAATAGAGACAATATGTGCAGTTCTCTTTTCAAATCATGGTAAAGTGATTTCTGCTCCAAAAGTCTAGAGAATAATTGCATCCTAGAAAATACAAATTCCCACTGAGAACATGTCATGTCTACAATTACTTACTGTGTCCCTTTTGGTTTTCATGTAATTTAAAAACAGAAAAATATCTTCAAAATACAAATTTTAGGCCATGAATTCAGCTCCAAAAGAGTAATCAGAATTTGAGATTGTTTATGTTTTTTTTCACATTCTTATTCATTTTATTTTCTCGAAAATTGCCTCGAGAATTTATACACTAATTTTCAAATCTTCTGCACTTCATAATGATATTTCAGAATTTGATGAACCTTAAAAAGAAAAGCAAAGCATAAGTTAATCTAAAGCATTTTCAGCTTATGTGACCTGACATACAGTTAATATACAGCTTATAATGCATGTTTACATCCTGTTGTTTTACTTGCATGCATTAAAAATTCCTTGCTATGAAATGACGGGTGTGGCCTTTATCTGTTTGTATTTCCTGTCATTTGGCTCAAATCTACAGTCTTATTAAGTTAAGAGGTCAAACTGGCCTGTCTTACATGGGGGATGTAGGCCACAGAGAGCTGCAGATGCCCAACCCTTCCCCCTCCATCCCTGCTCCTAAGATTTAACGGCTCTTACTAGCTGAATAAAGGAGTTGCCTGGAAACAGCCTGGTAACCACACACAGAGAGCGCCTTTATCTGACTGACACGTGACCCAGCTTAAACTGCGGCAGCACTAGGAGGATGTGCCGTGTGCACCAGGGGGGATGTGATCTTACTCTTTCTCCCATCTCCATTTCTTGTCTCTGAAAGGGAAACGCCCTTTTCCACTCCCTGTGAGGTTGGTGTGCTGTGACTTAAAGATGGATGAGACAAAGCAGGTCTTTCTTTTTGGGTTAAGTGTTTTTTATTATCCCTAAACCTTTACCTTTCAGAGACAACAGCCATAAACTATTTTAGTCCAACACACTGTGAAGACCCTTAGTTGCTAACAACAAAATGATCTCCATGTCAACATTGTATAGAGTCATGCTATTCCTCATACAAAAAGAACAATCCTGCATTTGATGTGAAATGTCTACTGTTGGCCTAGTGGTTAGAGCAGTGCACTTGTGCTCTGAGAAGGTTGCAAGGACCCGGTCCGATCCCCACAGCCTCCACTCTTAACCCCACACTGCTCGCCGGGCACCACACAAGGGCAGCCCACTGCTCCCCAAGGGGATGGGTCAAACGCAGAGAGTAAATTTACCCATTGTGGGACCATAAAGGGATTTAAATTACTAACAATAAAAAGATTTTTTTGTAAAGAAACACAACAATCTTTTTATTGTTACTACAACAAAATGCTGAGTTTTTAAAAGCAGATAAAATTAGCTTATATGTTTTGGCTATGATGACGTCGGCACAAGAACTGAGGTCATTTATCAGATTCTCTCTTTACCTCCAATCAGTCCCAAACAGCAAAGATGTTCTGAAAATGTTTTTTTTTTGTTTGTTTTTTGCACATTTGTTTTGGCTTATCTGAATATTATCTTGATCCTTGTTGTCTAGCACTTAGAATGCCATTACCTTCTATAATGACAAATGAAGGGCATTGGAAAGTCCCAGCCTAGATGTTTGGGAACTAAGGGCTCTAAACTCTAGAGGAGCAGAAATTCACAGCTAGTGTTAAAAAAATAGATTAACGGGACAATAGCTTTCCGCTCCACAAATCTTAATTGAAAAGTGGCAAGATGTTGTTGAAAGGAAGCAATACCAACCCTGCTTTTATATTTGTCAGAAGGTTTATCAGGTACTCAGACAACATTGCATGGAACAAGTTGTTACATGACACTAACATAGTCTTCACTTTAGAATAAAAAGGAAAGACTTAAGGAAAAAAAGATTAAGAAAAATCCAAAAATAAGCCTACAAAAGACTTGAGTTTGGGTTGTTGGTTCACCTACAAGTACGAAAATGGCCCTGAAAATACAGCCAGAGCTATAGCGGAATGGTTTAGACCAGCACACATTAATACTTTTGAATGCTCTAACCAAAGCCCAGACTGAAACCAAAGATGAGTTTGCAAAACAAAAAAGAACATGTTTTTTTCATTGTTAATCCTTATTCAGTCTTTATAAGCTTTAGTTAGTTTGCAAAGCAGAATGGGCAGAAATCTCCGAGTTACAAAGCAGGTGGAGACATGCCCCTTACAACTCCAACTGAAGTAAAAGGTGATTCTATGAAGTATTACTCCATTATAAACTACTTTGTGTTAATCTATCCTATTAAATGTTAATAAAACAAAACACAAGTTACACCCTTTGCTGCTGTAACCTGATTACCTTGCAGGGAAGGTGATTTGCCTCAAGAATCGTGTGTTTACAAAACACAAAAATACATTTTGTCAGAACCCAGTAGATTCATTAGCCTTGAATCCAGAAATGTTTAGAACTAATGAAATGAAGTGACATGTATGATGTCACCAAGTAGTGGGATGCTGAAGCTATGTGTGTTTTTATTTTTAAACTGGTAAAGAGGGCGTGATTTGTGCCTTTGTGGACAGGAAAGATGCTTACCGGATTTTTATCAGTTAATTTAGCTAGTTGTGAAACAATACAAGAATATGATAGCTGCTGGGATTAGCCAAAAGCTGCACCTGCTGTTGTGATTAGCTAAAAGCTGCTACTGCTGCTGTGATTGGCTAAAAGCTGCGACTGTTGTTGTGATTGGATAAAAGCTGCGACTGCTGCTATGATTGGCTAAAAGCTGCACCTGCTATTGTGATTGGCTAAAAGCTGCGACTGTTACTGTGTTTGGCTTAAAGCTGCGACTGCTGTTGTGATTGGCTAAAAGCTGCGACTGCTGCTATGATTGGCTAAAAGCTGCACCTGCTGTTGTGATTAG